CTGGCCGATGGCGGGCGGACTGGCTGCGCGACGGCCCGCCCCGGGGGACTCAGCGTGCGGCGCGCTGGGCTTGTTTGCCCCGCTCTAGGGCTTGGCTTATGGGTGTGTGTGGTGTCCATCATCCGGAAGTAGTTCTCTGACTGTCCGTGTCTCTTGCAGGCGCGCTGGGCTTCAGCGGCGGCCCCGTCTACGTCGGCCCCCAGGGGTCGTCGTCGCCGTCTTCGCAGGCCGCACCGGCCGTGGACGCCGGCCTGAGGACGACGCAGACCGTGTACGGCTTCCTCGACTTCACCACGACCATCGGCAACACCGTGATGGTGTTCTCGCCGCAGAGCGCGCCCGCGCCCACCACGCCGGGCCCGTCCACGACGACGCCCGCCGCCGTCATTGAGACGAGGCCGCCCCCCGCGGCCGCGGCCCCGGCGCCCGCCTCCATCCAGCCCAGCAGGCCGACCGCCACCAAGCAGCCCGCCGTGCTGTCCAGCGTGGTGGAGGTCCGCGGCGGCGACTCCCCTGTCTTCAAGGTAAGTGTTGCAGTTATTACCCCCCTCCCTTTGCCACCACAAGAACACAGACAACCTCACGCAAACACACGCGGTAGACCAGGCGTCAGGCGTCAATGTCATCAATCATAACCACGGGGCGAAAGAAATACGAACACTTTACTCTCATTTGGAGCCATTCCAGGGGGCTGGTCGGCCGCTGCTGCTCGGCCGGGAGTCTTGCTTGTCCGCGCGCTCTGCTTTCGCCCTCTTTTCTTTCTCGACTTCTCGTTGGAAGATTAATGGTCTTATTTTTATGTGGAATCCTTGCAGGAAAGGGGAAGTGAATTAACGGGGAGATTGTAATGTGCTAAAATGAGATGCAGCCTCTGTTCGGATGGCGCCGTACAGCACGGCAGTACGGCATGACAACATGCACGCTGTCCGGGTTTAGTATCAGCTGGCGATATTGCCTCGCGGGTGATCACGCACTTGTACTTCCTCGACTCGAATCACCGCCGGGGGTGATTATCTCTTTACACGCGGATCTTACACTTTGTAGTGCTCGCTACCGACTTGGGTAAGGTCACCCGCACCCGCGCCACCCGGCGCGCTCATAGGCGCCCATAGGCCTCCGACGGCTCCCTGCAGCAGCAGGCCGCTTATTAAGAGCTTGACGGGCAGGGCCCGCCCCGCGCAGCCCCGCGCAGCCCCGCGCAGCGCCGCCAATCCGGAATCGTGTTAGAACCATCCATTCTTGGACGAGAACACTCCATTAAACGGCGCGCCCAGTGCCGGCGGGACTCTTAAACGGCGCGCAGGCCCGCGCCAACACCATCAACATCGCCGTTTCGAGCCGTTGACTCGGGCCATTAACACGCGCACAGCCATGGCGGCTTTAACGCTCGCTAATGGGCGCCGCGCGGGGGGCGTCCAGGGGTGTCGGGCCGCCGGCGGGCGTCGGGCGTCACGTGGAAGGGACGCCGACATGACGGCGGGGAGGAGCGACGGCCTCGACAACAGCACCCCCACGGTCAGCCGCGCTAGTGGACGCTGTGTCACGTCACTCGAGTGGGGACGGGACGCGTCGCGCGGGCGGACCCGCAACATCTCTCTCTCGGCCAGGCCAGCTGCGTCACCTGCGCCGCTGCAGGTGCGGGGGGCGCCGAGGGGGGCATTGTTCTCGGTAAGGCAGTGGGAGGGACGCTCACACAGTCACACATTCGGGCCCGGCTACACACTCACGCTCTTGCGCGGTCTTTCGTCACGAAGGCCTGCGCCGTCACCGGGTCCAGCGGGGATTGGCTGGCAGCGGCCTCAACAAGAGAATGCCGCCTTTAGACCTAACGACGTCATGTGCTCTGCTGCAGCCGGAGGGGCCCGTGCTCTCCAGCAAGGTGGAGGTGCGCGAGGGCGGCGTGTCCTCGGCGGCCGTCCCCGCCTCGCCCTCCGCCAAGGTGATCCTGTCCAGCGTGGTGGAGGTCAAGGAGGCCCCCAAGATCCTGTCCAGCATCGTCGAGGTCAAGGAGGCCGTGAGCGTGGCGGCCCCCAAGGTGCTGTCCAGCGTGGTGCAGGTACGTACCCGGCCCCGGCCGGCAGCGGCTCGCGCCCGAGCGGCCGTCAAACGGCTTGCCCGCACGTAGCGCTGTCGATTGGGTTGCCTACCGCCGCTCTCCAGGCGCCCTCCAGAACGCTTGTCCGCTTGCCGCGCAGGTGTTCGGCGGTGAAGCCCACACACTGCCGCCTCCCAAGGTGTCCGTGCTGACGTCCTCGCACGACGAGCCCGCCATCTCCGGGAACAACCTGGTCATCGGGCCAGAGTACGACTTCCTCTCGCGACAGCCCTCTGAAGTCGTGGACGAAACTTACAAGGTTTGCTATCGCGGACAGACTTTGTTAACACCACTTGTTTGTGGAATATTTCTTTTCATCAACGTGTGGTGACTTTCAGGTGATCGACCTGAGACCGAGCGCCAAGCACAAGTCCCCCGCCGGCCCCCGCAGTCGCGTCAACGTGGTCGTGTCCTCGCACGTGGCCGAGGCCCCTAGCGGTCCCTCCGGACCCTCTGGGCCCGCGCCCGCCCCCGCGCACTCCGGCCCACACAAGCCGCACCCCACCGGCCTCGTCACCAAGCTGGGCGGCACCGTCGTGAAGGAGGGTGTCACTACCGTCCACGAGACGTCCGTCATCGGCACCTTCATCTCCGGCAAGTACGCCCAGGTCCTGGAGAGCACGTCGCACGTGATCCCGCCGAAGCAGAAGGCCGCGGCGGCCGCCGGCCCCGGCATCAAGCCGACGGCTGCGCAGGCGCGCATCCTCAAGACGGCCGCGCCCACCGCCAAGCAGCTGCGCCACAACCTGGACCCGACGCCGGCGGCCTCGGCGCACGAGGAGACGGCCGTGCTGCCCCTGGAAGCCCTCTTCAGCCAGCCCGCGAGCGGCGCCAGCCACAACCAGGTGCGGCCCGCGCGCCGCTCGGGCGGGCCCTCCGCCAAGAACGAGTTCAAGGCGCGCCTGAGCCAGGGCCGCGCCGGCCGCCTGGGGTCCTCGCGGGAGGTGGACGCTGCCGACGAGGAGCAGGACATCCAGGAGCAGGAGCACGACGACCAGCAGGGCCCCAGCTACAAGAACAAGCAGCGCCAGCGCGGCTTCAGGTGAGGCGGGGGTAATAACATCCATCCAAGCTTCACACGGTCCCACAAAAGTTGGATGAAATTCAAATCCGCGACCCGGGGACGGCCGCGCGGTAGAGAGGGCAACCTGGCGCTCACCTGAGCTGCCTCCTTGCCCCCTCCCTCCCTACCCCCTTCCCTCACCTCCTCACCCCACATCCGTCCCGCCGCCCGCCGCGGCCGCCTGTCGCGGTCGTTCCGAGCTGATGCCCCTGGAGATTAGGCCACCCATCCTACTCCCGCTCGGTGCGGCTCTATTGCGTGACGATGAGTTTTGAATATCACATGACCTGTCGCTCGTTGCGGGGCGGAGGAGGGGGCAGATTTATAGTGCGTGGGACCCTCTTATCCACAAACACCCCCCCGCCCCGCCTCGACCGAGCAGGGTAAATAGGAGCGCTGCAGCCCAGACACGACATGGGGCTGTGCCCGCCACCCCCACCCCCTTCTCCCCCTCTCCCTCTTTCTTTCTCTCTGTCCCTTTTCCGCGGGCGCACTCCTCTCTTTTCCTCGTT